TAAGTATGGTCGTGTGACCTTCATGTTGCCGAAAGAACACCGTGTGTCTGCATTATTCTGCAAATATTTCATGTCAACTATCGTTATTCTAAACTTGTCAAACCTAGCTCAAGATAGCTTCAAGCCATATAATGACTTCCTGAGCCTACACACCTTGCCCATTATCTGGGATGCACTGGATCTTGATAGTATCACCGTATATAGCTCCTCCAGTAGCTTCCCATGAAGAAAAAACATTCTATACATCCAGTTGTTGGAATCTCCATCCACCATTCACTGTTAGAGAAGTCAGTGTCCTCAACGTTCTCATCTTTGCTATTGATGCAAAAATTTCATTGTAGTCAATGTCATACGTCTGACTGTACTCTTTTTGTCACTAGTTGTGCTTTGTACCTCTCCACATTCCCTTTTGTTGTTTGCTTTACTGTGGAGATCTGCTTGCATCCAACTGTCTTCTTCCCTGCTGGTAGTGGTAAAATCTCCCCTGTTCGGTTTTTATCAAGAACTCCAAGCTCTTCATGCATCGCCACTTTTCACTTGAGATCCTCTTTAGCAACCTGCCAACACTTGGATATAGATGCAGAGTCCAATGATGCAATGAATGCTCCATGCAAAAGTGAGTTATTAGAAGAAGAAACAAAATTCACAATGTCAAGTTCTTATCCAAAATGATCGGGAGGATGTTTTGCATTGCTATGGGAGGTTCCCTTAAAATTTTTTTGGGGGAGTGGACGGAAAAAGAATAATATCACTTGAGAGTTTTGAATCAAAGGAGAATGGTGTAGGTGTCTTAAGAGTTGGGGAAGACTGAGATTAGGAACTTATTGGCGCAACAGGCTATGTTCCCTCAAATTGCTTCTTCCTCCGTGTATCCACCACCTCTAGGGTCTATCTCCACTTCTGTCTCCTTAGTTTATTCATCCCACATCACATGACTTGGCATTTCTCCTACTTTCACCACTTCATCACCAATATTACTCACTTTCATTGCCTCATATCTCCAGTAGTTGTTGAGTTACCGAAGGGACTTACCTCCAGAGTGTTGTATGGTTTAAAATCTTTGAATGACACATCCATGCTCACAAAGTATCGCTTCTATATAGGGCTCCAACATATATAGCCCTTTGATTAGCAGAATACCCTTCAAACACACGTTTTACGGCTCTGGGATCCAACTTCCATATAGGTGGTCTGTTATCTTTCACAAAGCATATACATTCAAATACCTTCAATGAAACGAGCCAACTATTGTCTCTTTTTCAACATTTGACAAGGAGACTTCCACCCCAGCACCCTTGAGGGCATGCTGTTAATCAGTTGAGTGACTGTCAACACTGCCTGACCTCATAATTGTTGTAGGGCATTCATTGTCATCATTTTGCTCTGGGCTACCTCTAGAAGATGTCGATTCTTCCTCTCTGCCACTCTATTTTGTGCTGTTGTGTATGGGCATGCGATTTAATGTTGTATCATTTGAGCTGACATGTAGTCCTCAAATGCTTTGTTTATATGTTCTATCTCATTATAAGATCTTAGCGCATTCTCAATTGCCTCATATTGGGTTTGGATTGCCTTGTGAAAACTTTAAAGAAAACATTCACCTCTCTCTTTTGTTTCATCAAGTATATCCATGTAACATGAGAAAAACAATCAATAAACGCAACAAAATAATAATAACTATTCATAAAACTAGTAGGATAAGGTTTTCATATATCAGAATGTATCAAATCAAACACACCAATGCTCCTATTCCCATAATTGACTTAAGATACAATCGAATCATTAGACTAAGACTAGGATGTCCTGTGATGTAGTTGTAACACATCCTCACTCCTTCCAGATTCTCCTACTGCAGTACTTTCCACCATGGATGCCAGAGCTGAGTCCATCTGCTCTCGGTCCAAATACCAGAGTTCGTTATACCACATTCCAATCCTAAGTGTCCGACCCGTCTCTTTCTCTTGGAAGTTCACCTGAGGAATATCAAAAGAAACAATGCATTTTAACTGGAGAATAATGACACTAATGATGGATACGAGGTTTATTGGTAAAGGGGCATGCCAAACATTGGGCAAAGTCATATGATTGGTACATCTCACTATACCCTTACCAACTTTCGGTTGTGTTATACTTAGTTCTGCTAGACGAATATATGAAGAGAACTCTCTAGCAGCACCTGTCACGCGACGAGAAGCACCAGAATCCATGATCCATTTTGATGATCCTATGATGGAAATAAAGGCAGAGCAAGTGTGTCACCATTACCTTTGCTGAAGTGAGTATAAGGGGCAATGTTACCCCTTGATGTCGATGTATTTGAAACATTCTTAGCTCCATTTCTTATTGTTTTCTGCTTCCTCTTTAACAATTCTAGTAACTCGTGAATCCTTCTCTGTAAAGGCTACTTTTTTTTCTCTTTAGTCCTCTTCTACCATCAAATTTGCTTGATAGCCCCTTCGTCCACCTCTTTGGCCTCCACGACTATGACCACGACCACAACTTTTACACTGTCCACGTCCAATTGTTTCTCTCTTTGGGTGTCTTTGGACAAGTTTTGCCTAGATGTCCCGTCCCACTTACAGCTGTAACACCCGCAGGTTTCCCTTTGGGCATTTTTTATATCTGAGCTCGAGGTAGTCAAAGCTAATCGCGTACCTGGAAGTCCATTCGGCTCAGAGTATAGCCTCATGCGACTCTCTTCCTGTATCATCGTGGTAATGGCCTCATCCAGTTTAGGAAATGTTGTTTGGGCTAGTAGAATTGATTTCTTATGTTCAAAAGTCAGGTTCAAGTGAGCTAGAAATTATATAGTCCTTATATGTGCAAAAATCTCCCCTTTCTTGCTCCCCAAACCACCATAGTTGATATTTGTGAGAATTGATCAAGATCTTGCCACAACTACTCCAACTCTATGAAGTACTCTTGAATTGATCTATCACCCTGAATCACTGCCTCTATCTCATGCTGAATCTGGAACACACTCTTGTGATTCTCGTCTCCAACATAGATCTCCTTCAACTTTGCTCAGATGTCGCTCACCTTTTAAATGCCATCCACTGATGAGGCAATTGATAGAACCATCGAATTGACTAGGCAGGTGTAAGTCAATGCTTGTGTGATCCTCCTTCATCCCCCTCGACACAACCACTCTTTGGCTTGACCCCCATCAGGTATCCTTCTAGTTTCTTCCCAACTACAACAACCTCGATCCGATGTGACCAGCTCAGATATGTGGCCGGTTCATCGAGCTTCAGATCCACATGTGGGAGATCTAGTTTCACCTGCGTTGGAGCACGTGCTGAGGTAGTGGCTCCCTTCGAGACGCTAGCTCTTTGTATGAGCCCAACTAATACCTTCAAAATTTGATGATCTATCTTCACAAGAAGCTTCAAACCTTTACCTCCTGCACTATCTTCGTCTATTGGCATTCTCAATTTAATTATTTCGCAGCCTTCGTCATCTTCTCACGCACGTAGAATGAAATTTCTCACCTTAACTGTTCTGATTTTGCGCACTTCACCCCCTCCCAACATCGAGTTTCTTGAACTATTATGCAGTGATCCAGTAGCCAAAGGCGTCTGCAGTTCGCACGCAAGAGCACAATTGTATCATGGGGGTTCACAAAATACAGTACTGCGCCAACCGTGTCTCACCAGCTCGCGATCCCGTAGTGGCTTTCATAGTTAGCATGATTGCATTGCGATCCCCGCCGTGATTCCTTTCACGATCCCCTTGTTTCTGTTTCGCGATCTCGCAATGCCCTGGTTGCAACTGTAAAACGCCACGATCTGTAAAGTCGTGATCCCCTTGTTTTCGCTCTAATCGCGACTGTAACACGAAGATGAGAGAAATGTCTGAGTTCCGGCATGTTGATTCCGACGCATCAACCAGGGCTGCTAGGGTTAATAAGGCTATGATACCATAAAGAATTGATTGCTCATGAAAGACTTACTTATTTCATATATAGAGCATTTTAACATTTACAAATAAATCTTTAGATTTCTTCTATTTACAAATAGAACGCTACATTGCATACAAATCTCAACTGGCTGTCTTAAACAAAACACACCGAACCCCCCTCTAAATCATAATACTACACATATATAGGAAAAGACTAGAAATGAATGAAATGAAAAGAGAAAACTAGCTAAAAATTGGAAAGGAGTTAAAAATGGCCCTCTCAGTTCGGCTCTGTGCCAATTGTGTGAACCGACATCCGGGTATTGTAGCATATCACAGAAAGAGGGAGGGGGTCCCAATGGCTCCCTCGTTGCTAGAGAAATTTGATACTTTATGATTAAGCTAGCCACACATGGATATATTTTTTGGAATTTAATAGCACACACATACATATGACTGTAGTGGATAAGCATTCTGTCAATGCAGATTAGTAGTCAACTGGGGGAACATGTACTACATTTCGAACTAAAGGTCAAAGCCTAGTTGGAGAAAAGATCGATGATGAGAGGTCTTCAATGTTCGTTTATCAAATGGTAATGACTTCATTTATTCACCTGTATTTGTTGAAGAGAATTGGAGCCAGAAAACTGAATTTATACCTATATTTGTGCCATGAAATTATTTAGATTCGAGGTCATTGAGCGTTTGGTTTTTGGTCTTGAGGAAGTTGAGCTCATTGCCACTAGGTTTTAGATGCATGGGATCTCTTTTGTGTGTCAATGAATGAAAGAAAGAATGGTTTTGCATGCTAGAGAGATGTTTGTACGAGGTTGAGTGCTGATGATCGTAAATGATAGCTGGGCTAGGGACTTGTTGGTGTAATTATTGTGAGCAACAGGTAAACATGTTGAAGGTGCGCCGGGTTGGGAAGATGCACATCAGATTGCATTTAGGAATTTAAATTTAATTGACCTTAATTCCATTTTTTTTTCAAGATTTTCTGGCTTATCTTATCACCTTTTTCGATCACTCAATTATAATTATCTTGATTAAGCTAATTGCTGCTTATTCTTTAAGCTGATCTCTTATTATTTTGCAAGGCAAATGAAGATTTGGGGAACATCAGCTGGAAAACAGAGAGAGCTGAGTAAAATGCTTGATGAATGGTGATAGCTAGCTTTGTGCTTTACTTTTTTAGCTAATTTTGTTAAGTTATTGTCATTTCTACAATAGCTGTTGCAAAGCTTATAAAGCCTATATTTGCAGGGCAGTTTATATTCGACGGAAATTTGGGCACCGTCAGTTGTCATCGTCAACCTATCTTTCTGAAGCTGAACTTTTTCTTGAAAAGTATGCCATGCGCAGTCCACAAAACCAGGCTTTGGTAGGATCTGCTGGAAATCTTGTCAGGGTTGAGAATTTTCAGGCTATCATTGAAGGAGTTAGAGATGAAGAGGGCGATCTTCATCCTGATGAAGATTCAGCCCCTAGTAGTCCCACAACCGCTAATTTAGACATGGTTAAAAAAGATGAGGGTCTTATTGTGTTCTTCCCCGGTAATATTTGGCTTGTTTGTTTCTGATTTTCTACTGTTCAACTATTGAAGTTGTCTTGTAAATCTTTTAATGAAAACAAATGCTATCTTATTTGAACATCTATGCTTGACCTTAAAATGCTTATTTGGGGCTACAAAATATTCTTGTTTCTTTTATAAAAGTTGGTTTGTTTCATACCCTTTTGATGTGGGAGTATGGGATCCTGGAATTCCGCGATCCGGGATCGAATTGGGATGGTTCCGTTTTGGGGGAAAGCCATGTAGCCGTAATTTTCCCACTATTTTGATTGTTACAAGTAATGTGGACCCTTATTACCCTATTTTGACTTCTAATTAGGTTTTAATTTAAGTGTCATTATGAATATAATATGTTGCATCTGTTGGGCGAACTTTTTGCTTGGTTTATGTTATTTGAAGTTTTTTCTCCCTATGTTCTCTATTGCAATGCTATATCATTTGATTTCTCTCAGGTGGTGTGCCTGTAACATGATTGGATTGAGGTGGTGATCTCTCTCAAAGGTCTAAAGGGTACCTCCCTCTCCGAACCTGCTACCACCTTCCATTTGACATTTGCAACTGCTGTTTCTTCGCAGCTAGTTTGCTATCCAACTGTCATTTGCTTTGCATTTTAGCTTCATCACTCCTTCCTCCTTCGTTACCCATCCTACAATTTACCTAACCCTTTTCTATGTTATTCCACACGATCTATAAACCTTATAACTGTATCATTTGGTATTAGAGTTTGACTAATTTTAAATTTTTAGGATTCATTCTTTCTTACTCTTAAACCTGAAATTCACATAACTTAAACCTTCCAGCAACTCATTTCCCAAATCAATCATACAACAATTCCTAACCCTAAATGTAAATTCGCAAAAGCCATCTTTCCTATTTTCACAAAAAATCTGTCCCGACATTTATCACGTTAATCTAAACCCTTAAATGAAGAAAAATTCATTTTGCCGCCAAGGAGAAGCCTTCAACTAGGTATTTAGCAGCTTGTCATGGAGGATATGAAATGTGAATCCTCCAATCACTATGGAGGCTTACTGATTTTAAAAGAATATATCATTGGAAAGTTAACCATAACAATAATGCTGACCATTCTGGGGAAGAAGACTGTGAAAATGCTTTCACCAAGTGCTTGACGATGATTTTGGAGTGGAGGTTGACGTGTTAAGTTTTGATTGTCATATGATTCCATATGAGTTTATTGAGCTGCTCCAAATCGTGAAATGGATTTTTGAGTATAAGGACGTTCTGTCTAATAGAATAATGAAACTAACTACAATTTAATTAAAGAAAAAATCTTCCTTATGGTGGAAGAACCCAAGGTGTCTGCATCCGCATGAGGCAAAAAGTAAAATTGCAATCTTATTCAAGATGAGAAATGAGATCCAAGATAGTATTGCAATGCTATATCATTTGATTTCTCTCAAATGGTGTGCCTGTAACCTGATTGGATTGAGGTGGTGATCTCTCTCAAAGGTCTAAAGGGTACCTCCCTCTCCGAACCTGCTACCACCTTCCATTTGACATTTGCAACCTGCTGTTTCTTCGCAGCTAGTTTGCTATCCAACTGTCATTTGCTTTGCATTTTAGCTTTCATCACTCCTTCCTCCTTCGTTACCCATCCTACAATTTACCTAACCCTTTTCTATGTTATTCCACACGATCTATAAACCTTATAACTGTATCATTTGGTATTAGAATTTGACTAATTTTAAATTTTTAGGGATTATTCTTTCTTACTCTTAAACCTGAAATTCACATAACTTAAACCTTCCAGCAACTCAATTCCCAAATCAATCATACAACAATTCCTAAACCTAAACGTAAATTCGCAATAGCCATCTTTCCTATTTTCACCAAAAATCTGTCCCGACATTTATCACGTTAACCTAAACCCTTAAATGAAGAAAAATTCATTTTGCCGCCAAGGAGAAGCCTTCAACTAGGTATTTAGCAGCTTGTCATGGAGGATATGAAATGTGAATCCTCCAATCACTATGGAGGCTTACTGATTTTAAAAGAATATATCATTGGAAAGTTAACCATAACAATAATGCTGACCATTCTGGGGAAGAAGACTGTGAAAATGCTTTCACCAAGTGCTTGACGATGATTTTGGAGTGGAGGTTGACGTGCCAGGTTTTGATTGTGATATGATTCCATATGAGTTTATTGAGCGGCTCCAAATCGTGAAATGGATTTTTGAGTATAAGAACGTTCTGTCGAATAGAATAATGAAACTAACTACAATTTAATTAAAGAAAAAATCTTCCTTATGGTGGAAGAACTCAAAGTGTCCGCATCCGCATGAGGGAAAAAGTAAAATTGCAATCTTATTCAAGATGAGAAATGAGATCCAAGATAAGTACTTGCCATCACATTACAGATAAGAGACAGACTTCATCAGTTACAACAAAAAGACATCTGAGTAGATGGGTGTATTGCTGAGTTTGACCAATTTATGTTGAAATGCGAGCTGGTGGATCATGAAGAGAAAACCATAGTCTGATAGCTCGGAGGATTAAGAACATCCATTAGCAGAGTGGTGCAGCTTTATAGGATGTTCAAGACATAGTCCATAAGTTGAAAAGATAACATAGAAGTATCAAGTCCACGCCATCTTTCAAATAAGGTACAATCATCATATTAGGTCGCAAGAGCACACTGACCAGAGGATCAAACGCTGCCCCCGTGAGGAGAAGCCAACACAGAAGGATAAGAGGACTGACCAGATCAACACTCACAAAACATTTTCAGTTAGAATGTGTTTCCAGTACCTTGGACAATAGCACGTTACATCTTATTCCCCGAACAAAAGAATGATTTTTTTTTACTTAATAGGGTGTAGTAGAGAAAGCAGAGCGTGTAGACCAAGGGAGATAAAGACTGAAGGGGAACGTTAGCCACCTGTAGACGATAGTGTGATGATTGTGGTTCAACGAGTTCTCCAGATCGAGCTTAAGAGTTATTTGCAGTGGATCGTAACACTTATGTACTCATATAGTGGAAGGCGTGTAATTTCATTACAAACAGAAACAATTGTGAAAATATGGTATTTAAATGAATGATTAATAAATTGCGCCTCATTATTTAGAAGCATTTTCAACATATTTTTTGATTTGGTTGAAGTAGGGAAATAGGATCGGTGCCGATGAAAAATGTTTGGTAGAACTTTTAATTTGAAATAAGCGGCACAATCAGGGGTAGTGTGATGTCGTATGTATAGGGATACACATGATGATCACAAAATAACTACTCATTTATAGAGGGAGAGAAGCATATTTTTTTTATCATTGAAGGAGTCAACATTGATGAGTACTCAAACATAGACCAGAGCTATAGTGCCTCTTGCTATCTTTCTACAGGTTATGAGAGAGGTGGCAATGGGATTTGTCTTGGTGAGCTAGAAGGTTGTGATATGGAGGATATGATATTTTAGGCAGTGTGAGCCTTAATCGAGGAATTTCATGATGCGCTGTTTGAAAACATGCCACTTTGATTTAACATAGCTAAAAGAGATTCATCTTGTCATAGAACTTATTCTAAGATCAATGCTCCCCAACCGACCAACCTATAAGATGTGATTAACCGGGCACGAGGAGTTGTAAAGCAGGTTATAGATTTAATGGTTAGAAGATTCCGTGAGAGTACTAGATCATGCATAGTTCCAGCTCTCATTGTACTAAAAAAGGATAATTCTTATTGCATGTGTATTGATAGCATGATCGTGAATAAGATTACCATAAAGTATTGGTTTCATTTTTCGAGATTGGATGAGGCTCTTGATCAATTACATGGATCCAATGTTTTTGCCAAGATTGATTGCGTAGTGGTTATCATCAGATTATGTTGAGACCAGAAGACGGGGGGAAGTAATTTTTAGACACATGATAGATTGTATGAGTGAAAGGTTGTCATTTCGCTTGATTTACACTTCATTGGAGAATTGGTGGTTATATGTTTTGACGATATGTTTTTGAAATTTAGGTCAAAATAGGTGAATATCGGACAAAACCCCAAATCACAAAAAAAAAAAAAGAATATTATTGTTGTACTTCAATAGGGTTACAAACAAGGACTTGACACTTAGGAATATAGGAATATAAATCGAAAAGACACCCTAGGATGAGGTCGATGGTGGTGGCTGACAGCTACACAACTGCTAGGGGTCGATTGGAAGGGGTTTGGTGGCCAGTAGGTAGGTTGGACAACGATGGTGGCCGCAGGGAAAGGGTTGTTGGGGGCTGGTACACACCATCTTGGAGTGGTATATAACCGGAGCGCCACCGCCTCCTTGGATACAACTCTAGGACAGAGAGAACTCTCCACACAGGAAGTCTGAAAGTTGTCGCAACAAAAACGATCCCAAGCATACAATAAAACTCAAAACAAAAAAAGAACAGAAAATGATGGAAAAAAGGGGTTGGCGGCATTGCTGCTCCTTGCTACATCGCTCGCTCCAGGCGGGACTCAGGAAAGGAAATGGAAATCTGAACTGGAGGTACAACACTACGTAGGTTCTCCCGAGCCAAATTCCAAACAAGTAAATATTTCTTATGCTTCTAATCAATGACGAGTTAGGCATCAGCGAGGTTGAGGGTTTGCAAGAGTTTGTTTAATGGGTGATTCGTATTATCTTTCAAGTTATTCCTCTGACTCTTGAAGTTTTGAAGAACTGACATCTTCTGTTGCATTCCAATAACAAGAACTTCACACCGGTCTTTCGTCTTTTTATATGAAACACTGGGGTGGAGGGCTGGAAGTGTAGCCACCTGTGATGCTATCAATTTGTTGTTACTAAGAATATCCACTGAAATTTTAAATTCTGACATTTTTGGTCTGGGTGATCTTCATATATCTCAACAAAAAGTTATCAATCTCTAGGAGAGTGAGAACCATAATCTCATCAAAAGTCGCATGTTCCTTTTGATGACATGGAGGAAAGACACCCTATGATGAACTTTAATAGGGTTACAAACAAGGACTCTTGACAGTTACGAAAATGGCAACATAAATCAAAAAGACACCCTAGGATGAATTCGATGGTGTTTGTCGGTGACTGGACAGCTGGTAGGGGTCGGTAGGAAGCGGTTTTTTGGCCGGTAGGTGGGCTAGACAGTGAGGTGGGTCGTATGGAAAGGATTTTCGGTGGTTGGTACGTAATCCAAAGGGTTGCGACGGCCCTCCTAAGGGCTACAATGGGGTTGCCTGAGGTGAAGGAAGGGGTTAGCATAGTGGACAACAGGTAAGAATGCAAGGAAAGCGGTTTGACAGGATGGGAAGTGACCGGAACAATAGGGATGGCTGTTGTAGAAGAGCGACAAGGTGGCTGGGGATGGTGGGAAGGCTAGACAGCGAAGGTAAATGCGGGAGAGTGGGCGATAGGGGTTGGAAGGTGACTAGGAGGCTTGGGACAACAAAGGTAAATGTAGGAGATGAGGCGAAAGAGGCTGGGAAGGGTGTTAAGCATGGTCAGCGGCTTGGGGGAAGGGGCAGGAGGGCTAGAAAACCAAAAGGGGTGGAAGATACACACCACCTTGGAGTAGGATACAACCGGAGCACCACCACTTTCTCGGATACATACTTAAATTAAGGAAAACTCACATCACAAGAAATCTGAAAGCAGAGCACAACAAAAACCTATCCTAACTCGCACTAACAAACATATAAAAAGACTCCAAAAAAGAAAGAACAAAAAAGGAAGGAAACAAAGGGTTGGCGACATTGTCGCTGCTTTTTATGTCGTTTTTTTCAGGTGAGACTCACAAAAGGAAATGGAATAAATCGAAGGAGCAGCAATCTTCACCTCTTTGATAGCTGGCTCGACTTTCCTAGAAACCGGCTGAAATGGTTCCCTTAACAGCCGGCTGAATCGACTAGCCCTAGCCCTGCATCATGTGGTCATCCGAAGAAAGTGTTACTTTCTCGTATCAGATACGTGCTTCCTAGAATACATTGTTTCTAGTGCCAACATCGATATGGTCCTAACAATGACTCAGGCTATTGTGGCCTGTTCTATTCCTCATCATTTACTCGGGTATGGTAGTTTCATGGTATGATTTTTTTTACTAGAGATTTTTTACAAATTTTAGCTTATTCACACCGGTGACGAAGTTTCTCAAGTTAGATACCTTTACGTGGTTAGATGATGCACTAGCCAACTTTGATGCTTTGAAGAAACATGTGACTCAAGTACCTTGTCTAATGCTTTCAAATTTCAATGATGTGTTTGAGTGGAGTGTGATGTCTTTAATGTAAGGATGAGAGCTGTTTTAAGTGAAGCAAAAAACTATATTGTTTTATTCAATGAAAAGCACACCAGTGACGAAGTTTCTCAAGTTAGATACATTTACGTGGTTAGATGATGCACTAGCCAGCTTTGATGCTTTGAAGAAACATGTGACTCAAGTACCTGGTCTAATGCTTTCAAATTTCAATGATGTGTTTGAGTGGAGTGTGATGTCTTTAATGTAAGGATGAGAACTGTTTTAAGTGAAGTTGAAAACTATATTGTTTTATTCAATGAAAAGTTGAATAATGTCAGAATAAAATACTCTATTTACAAGAAAGAGTTTTATGTCATCGTGAGAGTCTCCAGTTACTGGAGTAGTTATTTGTTGGAGAATGAATTTACACTCTATACTAAGCACGAGGTCTTGAGATTCTTGCATAGCCAGAACAAGGTAAAGTGTAGACACATATCTTGTGTGGATTTTCTCCGTATCACATTCCAACTGTCCCCCTTTAGGGTCAACCACGGTGTGATAGAGGTGGATGATTTGGTTAGATTAAAATCTCACCAGCACTCGTCTTGACTTACATAATCAATACCTAGTGGGTGATGAACTAGTCTGAGTACATACCTATAAATATACATAATACTTTTCAAATTCATAATTCATTCACAAAAAAATTGGAAGCATGAAAATTCATATCACTAAAACATGTTTATACAGAGTTGTAAAATAAAATTATAAAAATATGTACCTAAGGCCTGTACAACCTTCAAAATTAAATACAAAAGTTGTAAACATTACACCTGCTATTCGCCCCGGTGCTCCTTCTTAAAAGTCAACATAGAGTGAGCTACAACAACCTCAGTGAAATAATAAAGACTAAATAAAGATTTTTATATGGAAAATAAACAACATGCATGCTCATATGTAGCTTATATACATGTCAACAACATATATCATAACATGCTATAATCATATAAAATATTTAAAAAAAAAAGACATGTAATACAGAGAATTATGATAACTGTATAAAACTTGGTATTTGTACATTCACGTATAATTATTAGCATATTTATATGAGTCATCAATCTAATCATAGGATTATTAATTGTAACTATATAACCCTCAACTATTCTTATGTTATGTTATGTTTTCTCTTTGGGTCATCACCCATCCCTTATGCTACATTAACTATTGATAAAAGTTGGACTCCTCCTAACATAATTGTTATCCATAGCCTCATCGATGCCAATGGTTCCATAGTTTCCATCTTCATCTGATCCCAACGGTTCTAAAATTTCGTTCCTGTTTGAACAATAGGAATCAATATTTCCATAATTTCATATCATCCGTACCTGCAAGAATTGATTTAATACCCCACCTAACCTAACACTTGTGGCATTCTTATGATCATAATCCTTGTAATAAATAATCATAGACATATGCATAATCAACATGATATGAATACTTGCAAACGAAAATTTCATAAACATGCTCGTCATGGCAATAAATAAGAAAATCATAGTTATCGTCAGTGTCAGTTCAAACTGACACTTATGTACAATTGCAGGTATTTAACAATATGAGGAAATTTCAAATGCATTCATGAGTCACAATAAATCATATCAAAAAATCAAAGAAGGATATCATTTTTAATTTAGCACATGATTATTTCACTTGTAACAACGGAGCAACCCTACTACGAGTTATTCTAAGCTCGCCTCGAGCTCGCCGCCAAGTATAAACAACCTGAAATTCGTAAACTTCTTAGGAATTTCATGAATTCTTAGTTTATATCGTGATTTAATCATAAATATAATTTTTTTTTACCTTGAAACAACATTTCAGCATGACTAACGCTTCTCCGATACTTCATATTCCTCTTCCCTCTTTTCCCCTTATATTTTCCATGCAAATCATAAAATGAACTTACCGAAGAGCATAGCTCTTAGTTTGACAATCTCATGGTTGTTCTTGCAAAACTATTGTAACAAGGAATGTGTGGAATGCCTTATTTGTAGAAAATTTCAAAAAGAAAACATAGAATGAAAGAAATGTCTGGAATATCCTGAAAGAAGGTTTTTTACTTTTCATTTTCTCCATGGAAGTTCGAATCCTAAGTTTCAGCCCTTTGTTCTACTGATCGCCCTTCTGTGCTACATTATTGATTGCGAAAATGAAGAATTGGGCGGGTAAAAATGGAATGGAGTGCGACATATAACTTAGATCCCATTTAATCTC